GCACTCGCGCTCGATCCTCTTTACACTCTCTATATTTCTAGTTGAACCAGGTCCATCTTTCTCTCTTTTACCTTCTCTGTCTTCCCACTGGTACATCCCTGTAACCTCTTCCGGCGCGTCTTTCTCCTCCATAGCGAATATCTGCTATCTTATCGGTCTTTCTCTCTCCCCTCCCTCCCCCCGTCCTTTCACTCCTTCTTTCTCTTTCTCGCGCGCGCTCGCTCGATCATACACAAATGTCACAAGCCGCGCTATCGTTACGCCTTGGTATAAATACTCGTACACGTTTATTATAATCTCCGTCCCGTTGGCATGACAAATCCTCTTTCGTACTCTTATCGTTTGCGCGTAATTCGTACGTACGCGCGCCTTTCTTTCTCCCATCTCGTTCAATCTGTCTCTCCACCGCTTTTCCCTCATTGGAAAAGTCGTCGGGGCGAACTCCATCCCCCAAGTAAGTCCCACCGTCGCGCGCGCGTCAGTACGAAAACTGATGACGTCTTTTTTTTTTCTTATACCTGGTACGCGTCACCTCGCACTTCCGCTGGCTCATACGAAACTCGCTGTCACGATGCTCTTGACATATTAGCAAAATCATATCTGATCCCGTGTACACACATACATGTATAATGTACATGCTACTTTGTATTTTTCTTCCGAAGGCGACACGCTCGAATCTGACGTTAAGCGCGCCGTTCGAGATGAGCGATAGGCGAAATCGGTGCCCCTACCGCGGGGAAATGGCGTGTACGAAATCCATTTTAAATCTCCATATAGCACAACGACTGATAAAACAATCGAAATTCATTAATCCGTATTGTTGTAACATTCATAACGTTATCAAAAATTGGTCCCGATATTCTTTATACCCGGGTAGAAGCCCAGCGTCACACGGTGTATCCCGTGTTTCCCCGCATTAAACCTTCACGAGAGTGTACCGAACGCAGAAATTGCGCAAATGTAAAATCTGTTTTAAATGTTCACGACGAAATGTCGAAATAACTGAAATTCATTAATCCGCGTTAATGTAACATTTATATCACATTAATCAGAATATATTTCTTAATACCACAGAGCAAGTGCAACGGCACATGGACAGTTCTCAAATTAAACGCTTATTTGCTCCGTCCATAATAACATTGCATGTAATTTTCATTTGAAATGCATAAATTTTAACATCGGGCAGTTACACATATAACGCTGATTACGTTGTATAAATGTGAATTAATGTTTTTTTGAACGTCATTTAAACGCATTCGCTTTATTTTATGATTTATTTTGCCAGGAGCACATCCAGTTTAGCAAATGGTGAAACCTATGGGCGCTCGATAAATTTCTATCTAATGTCGCAAATGTGTAAAATCGCTGGTAGAATTTTTATTTTTATGCCACGCTCACAATGACAAAGTGGCACTAAAGAAACGAAATACGCGCGACAACGCGCAAAATATGAATTATGTTAAAAATAGGTATCTTATGCAGTTGGCATTATAATTATACATCCCGCTCATTTCTCGTTCCGTCCCTTGAAATACTCAAGTCACGCAAAAGCATTAAAAGCTATCATTAAAACAGCCTTGAAGCACATGTGCAGTCAAAACTGTAATTAAAGCGACGAAAGGGTATGACAGTGAAGGGAACACCATTTGTTGTATGCTACGTGCCGACTTTTTAATGTTATTTTTTTCTAGTTGAACGCGTTTACTCTTAATTCTACGTAGGACAGAAACGGCAATAGCGATTACACGACCACAGATACGCGATATGAAAGTAATAGCACGCTTTATCTCGAAAGGATTATACGACATACGAGAGATAAAATGTACAACGCTTGGTTTTTATGATTTCCAAAGCATTCGACAAAATGAAACTAATTGAGTGAATTTGTACCGCTCATTAGATAATCACCGATATTTTTTAACGTACGTCTCAGTATTAATGCAATGATTTTAATGGCCGTGTGTACACGGAAATTTGAGCGAGCAAATCTTCGCGGTAAGTGCAGACTTGTGCGAGCTATTTTATAGTAAATTTTTAACGTGCCGCGAACCCTTCGTAGTTCAGGACCCCTCTGTTAGTCCCGCAAGGCTTCGGGATTTCGGTCGATCGAATAAACGAATAAAGCCGTTCCCCGCTATATATGATCTTCAGATGCCGATGAAACTGACCCGTAAAAAGATTGACCCTTTTTTTTATGCATATATAACATACTCGTTTTACTTATTTAAGACCCTTCCACCCCCCCCCCCCACCCCCCGATTGTCGTGGATGGAGAAATCGCGACACTCTGTTACGCGAGTTCCTCTCGTCTGACAGTACTCTTACGAACTGCACCGGTCTATTTATAAGCGGCACTTTACCAGCCATGAACCGCGCGGTAAACGGTTTATTCCGTCGGTGAGTAATATCGGTTATTTACTCCTTGCACCCCATGATCAATCGTCCCTCGCATCGGAAGTCGGAAGTTGAAGGACGGAACCAGACGCGGAAAGCGCTACTATACCCCGTAGATCGTCACGGCGACGCATCGAGACGATCTCCGGTACGGGGGAAGGAAACGAGAGAACGAGCGGATCAGTAAGAGATGGAACGGACCGTTGGAATACGTAGGACGTAGATGAGAGAATCGTCGGGAGCGGCACGGGGGGGGAGGGAGGGGGTGGTAGGGTAGGGCGGAGGGACACTGTGCGAGTTTGGCGGCAGTCGTTTTCCGAGGGATGGTTGGGCGGAAGGTTCCCGCGGGGCCTGTGTTATCGCCTCGGCAGGATGACCAGCCCGCGGTATCAAATATTAAACCTACTTGCACCCGGCAGCCTATCCTCGACAAGATATCCAAACCTTCTCTCTGCCGCCCCGCGCACCGCGACCAACCGGCCTGCCCTAACCGACCTACCACGTATACCACATCGCCGCGCACCAACGGCTACCATCAAAACCTACGCCTAGCCACTATATCTCTATCTCTCCACTT